GTAGTATACAGAGGGATTTATAATCCACTCAATGACTGTAAGGTTGCCAGGTCCTTTGGCTGCTAAACAATTCCAAACCATCACCCCCCTCCACCACTGTGCTTGACAGTTGGTATGAGTTGTTTGAGCTGATATGCCGTGTCTAGTATTTACAAAACATGGCGCTGTGCATCATGATCAAACTTTGGCCTTGTGTGTCCAAACTGCATTGTTCCAGAAGTCTTGTGGTTCGTTCAGATGCAACTTTTCAGCCATCCTGTCATCTTATTAGAGAGAAGAGACGGTCTTCTAGCAACTCTTCCAAACAAGCTATACTTGTTCAGCCTTTTTCTAACTGTACTGTCATGAACTTCATTTGATCATTTGGCATGCTAACTGAGGCCTTTAGAGTCTAAAATGTAGCTCTTGGGGGTTTGTTGCAATTTCTCTGAGCATTGCACGTTCTGGTCTTTGAAGGAATTCAATTTTATTTTATTTATATAGCACCAAATGACAGTTGTCTCAAAGCGCATTATATTATAAGGTAAAGACCCTTAAAATGATACAAACAAAACCTAGAAAACCCCAACAATGACACGACCCCCTATGAGGGAGCACTTTGGCGACAGTAGGAAGGAAAAACTCCCGTTTAACAGGAACTAATCCTCAGCAGAATATTCCAGCGGATATTATATATAATGTCTAACTATAAAATCTCCCTGTGCATTAATACTCTGAAAACTAATATTCATTTTAAAGATACTGTTTGCATGATTTCTTTTTCAGGATCTAGATTGTTTTTCACTCTTGCTAACAGCCATAAGCTCAGCAGGATTAATGTTGTTTAATGTTGTTTAATGTTGCACTCTCACCGCCCATATCAAGCACCAGCGGTGCATGGCTCCTTTGCTCTGGGGTGTCCTGATAAGCCTGTTGCATAGGAATAGTGCAGCTCAACACTCGAAATAAGACAGCATGTGCTTATGAAAAACTTTCTCCAGGCAACAACCCTGCTTTTTGGCCATAGTGATTCTTCCATCAGTCGTAATATATATGCCAAAATAAATTTCAAGATTATATGCGACACTGGTGTGCTTGAAATTATCTGGGGTGTTATATATTGCCAATATAGTATGTCAGAACTAAATTACTGTAAATTACTAATAATGGCTGAGGAAATTCAGACATTAAACACGAGTCATTCAATGCTCAGTGGGAGCAAGGAACAGAAAACTATCCAGGTCCTCCGAACTGCACCATATGTCACAATACAATGCCTGTCCCTCTGCACAAACTGGCCATATGCACAGAAATGAAGCAATCACGGTCCTCGCAGAGAAGGCTGAATTTACAGACTTCCATTTCCAATGTGCTCCACTCTGCTGATGCTCTGCCAGATTACTGGGCCTCAATTTTCTATGCTGCGGTCAAGTCACAACAAGGGTGTTTATTGTACATGACCGGCTCTCTTCTACTGAAAAGCAGAAGTTGTTTTGAGCGCATGAAACTGAGGCACAGCGTCTCAGCTGCAGCAGAAAAGGATGACCTTTAAATGAGAGAGGTCTTCCTGCTGCATGAACTGGCTTGATTAGGTGATGTCACAGGAAATGAACTCTCTCCTTATCAAGAGTCAAAGATAAAATCCAGCAACAACTGCAACTTTTCTCTGCTGTCATTGGATGGAGTTTTAGGACAGGCACTCATTCATTTCCATAAGCATATTCATTCAAACAAGACATTACTGTGTACTCAGCAACTCAAATGCACCAGATTATAACCTCTAGAGTAGGTCCTCTATGATTCAAGTTTAGTTTAGACTTCTTTGTTGAATCTGTGTAGACTATTTAAATCTGTTGCCTGACTGATAACTTCACACATTTCTAAGGCGGTGCAAAGCAAGCTATGGCATAGATTTCAGAGCGTTTCCAGTTACTTCCAAAAGGTGTAGATTTAACACTGAAACACAGATCGACTCTCACGACTGCGTCCTCATGTAAAACAGGGATTTTCCACTTTCTTTCTTTAAAAAAACAAATCAATAAAAAAAAATCTCTGTTTTGAAAAAGATTCACATGAAAAAGTGATATCAAGCTTGATTAAGAGCGTGTTAGCGCAACTGGTGGCAATATGAGTTGTTAACCCTAATCATTCAAAAATGTCAGCCAATCAGAACCCTAGAAATATCACAGTCTGACATTAAAAAAAGAAGATAAAGGCGCACATCTTTTAAGTTGCAAGATCATGTCTTTGCTCTTCTCTCCACATGCAGAAACTGAGTTTCTGAAAATCTTTACCCTGGAAGGAGTTTTTTCAAAAGCTCAGTTTTCAGTTCCCTGAAATGCAATTTACACCTGCACAGTTTTTAAAATATTTACACTTAATATTTCATCACTGTTCAACAGAAAATATGTATATGAGAATAACTTAATTACAAAATTGTTTACATATTGTAGTGATATTTGTACCTCTAGAGGCTAAAAGATAAGCAGATAAACAGAAGATAAAACAGAAAACAAAACTCACAGCTAGTTCTTGTTTACTACTTTCAAATCTGTCTTAAAAGCTTCCACAGTTTCTGAAAATCTCTCAGTTTCAAAATTCTGATGCAGCTCCAGCATGTGCGCAAGCAGTTGACTAGCGATTAGCCACATTAGCTGTGCAACATGCTAAAGTAAGCCATTTCATGTTGTTATTGTGAAATTACCATAAAAAAGTCTTTATTTCCTTGGCTACTTGTAGTGTTAATTCTTATTTTTTGAAAGCTAGATTTACAACATTTCTACAGTATCTTCTTACAGTGAATCAGCTCTTTCTGACTTCATATGATCCAGTTCTTTACCATTATTTCAATCAGTTAGCTAGTCAGTATTATGTGTGTGTCAGTGTTAAGTAAACAATTTGATCATATTATACACTATATGAACAAAAGTACTGGGTGACCTACACATTACACCTGCAGGAGCTGCTCGGCCATGGAAGTCGATGCCATGAAGCTCCCAGCACACACTTTTGTGCTGATGTTATGCTAGCATTCACAACTCTTACACACGACTCGCCCCAACCTTCAGCGACTCTGCTTTGCAACTTTGCATAGTCTGCCACTTCATGGCTGAGTTGCTGTCGTTCCTAAACATTTCCACTTTGCATTAATATCACTTACAGTTGATTGTGGATTATCTAGAAGGGAAAGAATTTCACAAATGGACTTGACGGTGGCATCCTATTACAGCACAACAGTTGAATTCAGTGAGCCCCTCAGAACGACCCATTCTTGCAGAAACATTTGTAACAGCAGACTGCATAGTTAGGCTCTTGATTTTATAGACCTGTGATAATGGGAAAACACCTGAAATCAAAGATTAAGAGGTGTGGCCAAAAGCATATTGTGCATCTCTCGTGCAGTACGTAAATAAGCAAATAAAATATGGCCTACACGGCTAGTTTATTAATGCTTGGGCAAAAAGATATCTATGGTCTGCTTTTTTTTCAATATTTTACGGTATTGTATAAAATAAATCCATGATTGTGATTAATAGTCAGGAATCAACAGTCATTTTTCACCATCCATGTTACTGTCAACAGATATCAGCACAATTTAATTGTATTGGAGCTGCCAGCACAGGCATGGCTCCTGGAGGTTTGTAAAGTCAGAGAGGTGCAAGTCCAGGAAACAGACTTTGTAAGGGCAGAGAGCTTGAAGCAATCACAAACAATGGGTGTGGAGTCAAACAGGAGGTCAGCACAATACAATGATGAGGTACAGAAAGGTCATTAGGTAAACGGCGTTCAAGGAAAGGTGAAAAGGGGTAGACGAGAGAGCAACACATTCCTAAAGGAGGGAAGTGAGAGGCTTGCAGAGAGGAAGGGTTCAGGGGAAAGCACACTTAGAGCTTTCTTGTACAAACAAACAAGTAAAAAACACAGGAATATCAGAAAGGTCTCTAAAACCTAAACCGTACTGTGGAAAGCCCAGATAGCTGCCCTTTCTCACTTCCAGAGGCACCACATACAAATGTACACTTTCATGCTCTCTAAAAATAGCATTCATCAGCACCTCCCTGTGGGTCTCACAACTTTTTACAGTTCTCTCACACAACTGATCCAAAATAAATCCGATTGACAATAAGTACGCAATCCCTTTGACATGCAAATGTCAAATTATAAACCAGTGTGGTGAGAGCTGTATCTCATACTAGGGATATATTTGACTTCTTGTTTCTGTGTGAGAAACAGCCGAGCCATTCACCACTGCCAGGGAGGCACTGGGCCACTCGATCACTGCTGGGAACAGATAAGAGCTGACAGAAAGCAGACAGAGAGCCACCTCACTGCAACTGCACCTCTAAAAATACATGAAGCAAGCAGCATTTCATACTAACCACAGCTTCATACATGATATAAATCATGATCTCTCATTATAAGAATAGATTTTTATTCACTGTATAGGTGTGACAAGAGTGTCATGTTCATTCACAGCAAGAGCACAATGTCAGTGTTTGTGCTCACCATTCACCCACATACATACATACATGTATACACATGAATTTAAACATATATTAACAGGAAAATCAGTTCACCTACATATTGCACCATTATAGCCGTGCAGCTGTGCTAAAATGCATTTTCTGTATGGACTTTCAAAAGATGAGGGATGTGAAACTTTTCAACCAGGTTACAACAACTCAAGTGTGTGAAGGACTTATTACTTTTAGCCAAATGTAATGTAAGCAAAAAGAAGGAGGCTGTGCAGCGTCACATCTCTGCAGCTGGAAGAAAAGGCGATATGAGGAGCCCTGCAAGAAAGTAAAGTTTCTGCGCTGCAACTTTTTCAGCTTCCTAAAATCTCTTTGGAAGGTTTCTCTGATGGATTTCCACAGAACACAAACTGCAGTTTAACAGCTGGTGCTTTACTGACAAACATCTTAGTTGAATTCCTTTCTGTCTTACATGAAAAAAAAAACACATTTGCATGTACGACAAATATCCCATACAGCTGTGATAACTATGCCTTGGTTCCTCACCTCCAAAAGCATGAAAGAGGAGCAGTAGTCCCACGAGCAGAGGGGCAGTGTCCGGTAAAGCCATGACTATCGGTCGGTGCTGCAGATGTCCGCGCTGAGGTGTGTGTGCGTGTGTGCGTGTGTGTGTGTGAAAGGAGTCTGACAGGAACTGGTCCTCCTGGAAAACTGTACAGAGTGAAAGAGAGGAGTGGCGGCGCAGCGTGGAGAGGCAAATGATGCAGAAAGGGGCAGAGACACGCTGTAAAGAAAGTCCTTCCGCACAAGTCATCCGAGAGCTGCTCTGAAAGGCATCACGTTTTATTATTTATTGTTTCATTTTCTTTAAATCACTCTGTCTCGGTCATTTCTTTACTCATTTAGTTTGATAAATACACTCGAGATCCGAGCTCCAGCTCCAGTGAGCTGTTGGTTATTTTTTGCAGCGGGCAAATAGAAGGGAGGACCTTCAGAGAGTGGAGCAGCAGGCGGAGGAGGAGGGCGGAGGTCTGGAGTGTGTGAAGTTATAATTTACAACTATTTTGTCGTTGCCAAGACTCAAATTTGATACATTTCCTCACCAAGCGTGTCATAACTTATGTTTTCTCAATAGGGGACCGTGACTAGTGGAGGATAATTTAGCGTGGAAATTGATGTGAGAAGGTGTGGCAGTTGTCCCGCCGTTTGAATTCAGGTCATGTGGTGCGTTTTTTGGCTTGGTGATCATTTCAGATTGACATCAGGGCTGTTTGCAGTGTTGTGCTGAGATAATAAAGAAGATACTGGTGGAGCTGAGTGTGGAGGCAGGAGCAGAGAGAAGGATGAGGATTTATCTCCATCTTATCTGCAAGTGGAGAAGCCGAAACTCTTAACACTTTATAAACACTGAGGATAAAGACCGAACTTCTGTGTGCCAGTGCCACACAAGCCCAGCAGTTCTCAGTGTTTAATTCAGAGTCTGAATAATACCGGAGGTGCCAGCACTATCAGCACACATACAGTATTCACCAGGTGCTTTGGTGAATTGTTCACAAATCCTTTCTCTGTTTTCCAGAAACGTTTTCCAAATGAAAATGCCCCCCTTGGAACGAATATCTCCATTTTTAACCTGTGTAGTTATTATAAAATGGCAAAAGTAAACCACATCTTATGATGAAAAAGTTTCTCAGAAGTAATACATTATCTATGAAGCCAGATGACACACACCAATTAGTTAAACTGCAGGAATGTCTTACAGACATAAAGACCTGGATGGCCGCTAACTTTCTGCTTCTTAATTCAGATAAAACTGAGGTTATTGTACTCGGCCCTGAAAAGCCTAGAAATATGGTATCTAACCAGATTCTTACTCTGGATGGCATTACCTTGGCCTCCAGTAACGCTGTGAGGAACCTTGGAGTCATTTTTGACCAGGACATGTCCTTCAACGCACATATTAAACAAATATGTAAGACTGCTTTCTTCCATTTGCGCAACATCTCTAAAGTTAGAAATATCCTGTCTCAGAGTGACGCTGAAAAACTAGTTCATGCATTTATTACTTCCAGGCTGGACTACTGTAATTCATTATTATCAGGATGTCCAAAAAACTCACTGAAAAGCCTTCAGCTATCTTAATGACCTTGTAGTACCATATCACCCTATTAGAGCACTTCGCTCTCGCTCTGCAGGCCTACTTGTTGTTCCTAGAGTATTTAAAAGTAGAATGGGAGGGAGACCTTCAGTTTTCAGGCCCCTCTTCTGTGGAACCAGCTTCCAGTTTGGATTCGGGAGACAGACACTATCTCTACTTTTAAGATTAGGCTTAAAACTTTCCTTTTTGCTAAAGCATATAGTTAGGGCTGGACCAGGTGACCCTGAATCCTCCCTTAGTTATGCTGCAATAGACGTAGGCTGCCGGGGGATTCCCATGATGCATTGAGTTTTTCCTTTCCAGTCACCTTTCTCACTCACTATGTATTAATAGACCTCTCTGCATTGAATCATATCTGTTATTAACCTCTGTCTCTCTTCCACAGCATGTCTTTATCCTGTCTTCCTTCTCTCACCCCAACCGGTCGCAGCAGATGGCCCCGCCCCTCCCTGAGCCTGGTTCTGCCGGAGGTTTCTTCCTGTTAAAAGGGAGTTTTTCCTTCCCACTGTCGCCAAAGTGCTTGCTCATAGGGGGTCATATGATTGTTGGGTTTTTCTCTGTATGTATTATTGTAGGGTCTACCTTACAATATAAAGCGCCTTGAGGCGACTGTGTTGTGATTTGGTGCTGTATAAATAAAATTTAATTGAAAATTGAACTTGAATTAAAGATGAGCAGAGATTCATCAACATACACAAAACCCCAGAGTCTATAAATTGTTTAAAAAAAAACACCCAAAAACAAAGGAATAATATTCTTCAACCTAAAATCAGCTACAGTGCATGTTATCATTAAAAGATTGTGTGCCATTTACAAGACCAAAAATCAATTCTGGATGCCCGTGATCTTCAGGTTCTCAGATGGTACTGCATTAAAAACAGACAAGTTCGAAATAACCGCGCAGTAACTTCCAGACATTATTGTCTGTAAGCACAGTTCACCGTGGCATCCGCAAATGCAGGTTAAATCTCCATCATGCAAACAAGAAACAGCGTGTGAACGTGATCCTAAACGTGATCCTAAACATTTAGAATGGACTGAGAGAAAGTGGAAAGCTGTTCTGTGGTCAGAAGAATTGAAATTTGAAATTCCTTTTTGGAAGTCTTGGACGCCACATCCTCTGGACCAAAACTGAGAGCGGCAAACTGGCTCAGCACTCAGTTCAGCGGCCTGCACTTCTTATGGTATGTGGGTGCATCAGTGCCTCTGGAACTGGGAGCTTGGAAAGGCACCATCAGTGCTCAAGAGAGGAGTGGCGGCGCATAAAGTTCAACATATTCTTCTTCTTCTTCTTCTTCTTCTTCTTCTTCTTCTTCTTCTTCTTCTTCTTCTTCTTTTTTCAGTCCAGTCTTTTCACCAACTGAAAACATTTGGATCATTTGGGCAAGGAAGATGCAGGACTGCTGAGTAGCTGGAATCCTGTGTAAGACAAAAACGGGACAATATTTCTCTCCCAAAAGTCCTGCAGCTGCTCTCCTCAGTTCCCAGATGTTTACAGGCTGTTGTTCAAATAAGAAATTGATGTGTTTCCTATGTTCTAATGTGTTTATGAGATTTACAAATCATTGCTTTCTGTTTTTATTTACATTTGGCACGGTGCTCCCATGTTTTTAAAATTATATAAATGCTAGTGTTAGTGCTCATGCCATCTTCTTTTGTTCAGCCCCTGAAATTAAAGCTAAAGCTTTGCGCTTTTGGCCCATATTCATCACACACCCGTAACTTGAAATAGTTTTGGCACACAGCTAAAATAACAAAAATTGCACATGCTTCCAAAAATACACATCACAGCTGTACGAGCTCCTCTTGTGCATCCTCAATCCTGAGCTTAATATGGACACAAGAATGAAGATGAATCAGAGTGATTCCCAAAAACACGTAAAAAGTGTCTGCCAGAAGACATCACGGCCGTGATGCTGATTATGTATCATGGAAACGATACGAGGTGAAATATTTGGACTGTATGCAGGCATTTCAGTGTCGTGGTTTTGGTATTTGGAGCATTCGCCAAACTGACCACAGTCAAAAAAAGGTTCTCAGAGTAACCGAGGGCAGCAGTGAACTAACAACTGGCAAGTTATCATGTGGCTTTGGCCTGATTAAAATGATACAAGATAGTTTAGGAATTTAGCCCAACCAGATTGTCCCAGACGTAAGCGTTGGACGGCTCATGTGTGTAAAAACTTTGACTTCTGAGTGGGTTTCGGGTCATTTTTGAGGCATTTCAGTGACTCTTGTTATGCTACAGCATCTGTTTTCAAAAAGTAGAGGAACATTTTTGTTCAGGATTGAATAAATGTGGTTATTTAAGTAGTTGGAAGTCGAAAGTTTCCATTATTGTGGTTTTCAAATTACTTCACGTAGCTTAGCCATTTCAGGACTGCAGTGTTTGAATGTTTATTGGTCAACATCCAGTTTGTTTGTACAAATTCAGCTCTAATAATGCTGAAACAACAGTAGCTGATGTTTTTATTCCATCCATCCATTTTCCTTACCACATTTCAAATTTAAGAACTCAGGGGGGTTGAACTGGTTCCAAGTATACCCTGCACGTATCGCCAGTTACACCAGCCACTCACATCCACACTAAAGGCCCATACAGAAACATAAATTAACCTAACATCCTGGTCTTTGGACTGTGGGAGGTCTGGGGCGAAAACAAAAACAGCATGAAGTTGCTGTAACTGTTGTGATTTGGTCTCGGATCATGGCTGAACACATTCTGCAGTCCGCTCGATCCGTGCTGGAAAATTTCAAACATCTCAAATCTCCAGTTCGACGGGGACCTAATCTTTGAACGTCACATCATGAACTAAACACATGTCACGTTTTCTTTTATTATTTTGGAAATATTTTACAAATACGCTCTAGTTTAACGTTTAAAGACACTGCAACTTCTTTGTGTTTGCCTTCACAAAAACTCTTAAGCGACTGCAGACTGTAGAGATGTGAGCTGCCAGGCTTTTAGCTGGACTAACGAGGCGGGATCACATCACTCTCGTTTTGGCATTTGTACCCCGGGATTTTTTTTAGAATCGATTTTAAGCTTTTATTGATTTCTTTTAATGGCTCTGCTCTCAGCTACATCTCTGAACTCTTAGCACCATATGCACCTTATGCACCAGTATGTGCCTCGAGGTCTTTTCTCTGTTACAGGTGCCTGGATGAAACTAATACAGAACAGACAGGGCATGAGGCTGTTGGAAGAACCTGCTGGACTAAAGTCAGTCTTGCGGAGTCGGCCACTTCCAAGTCAGGTCTTAAAACCTATGTTCAGGTGAAGGATTTTCATGATGTTATACGAGTTTTTAATGGGGTTTGACCTGTCACTTTTACTACTAGTGCCTTATTACTTTGATGTCACACAGTATTAAAATTACAAGGCTGTGCCAAGTTATGAACCCTAACAGAACAATGGACAATGTAAACAGACAGAAAACAAAGAACACAAAATATGTCCTTAAGTGTTTAAGGCCCCCCAAAATGATAGAAAACTAATTGTCTTCGCCCTCCAGAGCAGCCAAAATAAAAATATTGTTCCAGTTAATCCTGGTGTTTGATATGGAAGTGAACACCTGATTAACAGATCACTGTTTGTTTCAGCACTTTCCAAGACTGGCGTTTAATTTTAGTATTATTTAATCCCGTGTGAACTATCACGGTCCTTGCAGCTGGAGACCGATCAAAGGATGGTGCGACATGTCGTGCACACTGATCTCTGTG